ACGTCCTGCGCGTTGGCTCTGCCTTCTCAGTGTGAAGTTCTACGCGCTGGCCCAGGAAAGCAAGAAGGCTTCAGGCTAGATCAACCTTAAGCCTGAGCCAGCCTGGTCATCCTCTGGTCCACAGCAGATCGTTTAAGGTTGGGGGTCCGGAGATCAGGAGTTTACGTCCACGACGTGTTTTTGCGCGCGTCCCAGGCCTTGCCGAGTCGCCATCCGCGTAGCGTCTTAGCAGGTCAAAATTCTTTGGATGGCCACCACCCTCAGATCGTATTCACGTGTGCATGGTGTCAACTGCCAACTGTCACAGGGATGGTGTGCGGAGCGCGATCCTTGTAACTGCCCTCGTTTCTTGCCGTCTGGAGTGTGTCAACAGGTGCAGTGATCGGAAGGCGCGACTAGGAACCTGCGTCGAAACTTGTGTTGCGTTGCATCTTTGAAACTATACCCCTGTCGAGTCGTGACGTGTCGTCTCCTCTTTGCGGAATATCCTCGCGCGGCGTGTCGTGCCTCCGTGTCCTCATGCGCTTCGTGGTGGCTTGGTGGCAGGCCCTGGACTGCAGCAAGCCTCGCGAAGAGTTTGCACATGTTTGCAATGGGCGTGTCTATTATCCGGTTTTCGCTGCCTTCATCGAGAGTCTAGAGTGCTTCAGCGCTGGAACCCCTCGATCCGTGGTTCATTGGCACTTCGTGCTGCCTCATGCCTTTTCAAACTCAAAATTTAAATGAATCCTTAGCCCTTTGGGCTGAAGATACAGGAACTGGATGAAGCTGGGGCTTCTGACGCTGCCAACACGCTACGAGGCTCCAGGAAGTAGTCGTCTTCCTCCTCGTGCACCTCCTGCATCAGCATTCGACTTACCATGACTTCCCACTTGCCGGCCTTCTTTCCCAGCCACCCCCAGCTGTATCCGGCACCCGACCTCAAGTTGTGGGTATTGCACGATCGTGCCATGTCGCAGGTGAGGTTCAGAGTGTTCACTTCATCTTTAATGCAAAGTCCAGGCTCCTGCAATCGAGCGAAGAGGCATCTGCTGTGGATTTTATCAAAACAGCCATTCAACAAACCCGCAAGCAATGTTGCAAATCCAAAGCCCATAAGCTGAGGGTTGAGGAGTCCGAAGCCACCCACCCGCTGCAGCCGACTGCAAGGAAGTTGCAACTTAGGCAAGGCCTGGGGCCTCCTTGAGCTCCTTGAGGACCACTCTCACATGCAGTTTCAGAGGTCTCAAGAGTTTTGGCGATGCGCAATTTGATGTTCCGTTTGCCCGTTTGCCTCTGGTGCAAATGCCAAAGCGCAGTCCTGACTGTTCAGGTCCGCGAGCACAGGCTGCCGGGGCCTGCACATAACTTGCAGAGCCGAACGATGCATTTTGAGAATGCGTGATTTGTGCATGGCTGACCTGCCGGGTTTACTAGGATCAGGAGATGTCCCACGATGTCCCACGGAAACCTGGGGGGTATAGCAGCATAGCTAGCCTCAGCTGATCAAACCGTGCATGTGTTGTTTGCGAGACTTTCAGTTTCACATCCGGGAAAGGAGCACAAGCTGAGAAGACTGAGACGCTTTTGCTTGTACTTTGCTTGCAACTGCTGCGGCACAGGTATTTCCAGGTATTTTGGGGCGTCCTGGGAGTCATGGGGCCATGTCGTCGTAGCCAAACCAGTGTCAAACCATGGAGGTGGGTGAGCACACGGAAGTGAACAAAGAACGCAAAACTAACAGAGCGCAAGCCGACACACCAACACACAATCGAACCTCCAACTATGCCTGACTGAACCCTAAACCCTAAACCTTAAACCCCTAAACCCCAAAAAACCCTGAAAACCCTAAACCGCCTAAACCCTCAGCCCCCCTTCTTCTGATGCTTTGCTCTCGGGACCCGGCTGTGGCCGCCCTGGTCTCGACTTGAAGTTGCTGGCCCAACCTGCCCGCAGTGCCTGCAACAGATAGGTGAGAGAAGGTCACAGAGTCACAGCATGCACAGCATGGCTCAGTGGCCACCTGTTCAGTCTGTTCTCTTTCATTGTCCATGTGCTGTTGCAGCGTGCAAATCTGGCTGTCCGGCCTCTAGGTCCTCGTCGACACCGTTAGACTCGAAATCCTGCTGATTCGTGGGCAACCGGCATTCAACAACCTCTTTCTCCACAGATCTCCATGGATGCCGCAGATGAGTCTTGAGACCTGACTGAGCCTTGATACCTCCGTGAGTCCTCCAGCATGCGCTGCGCCGCCTTCCTGACAAGAGTGCTCACGCCAGCTCAACAAAGATTTGAGGCATGCTCGCTTTGCTGGTGTTCTTCCGATGCCAAGATCTTCTGCCCCGAAATAAAAAAGGAACTACAAGGCACAACTCCACCAAACTCTTCCGCGACCCCTTCAGAATACGGTCGGCCCTCATCCTACACCGGGCTGAACTTCGAGAGCCTCTGGTAGAGATCGAGGATGTCCTCCCGAAGTTGCAGTGAAACACGGTGCCGAGTACATTAACGAGGCGTCAGAGGACCCGGGAGCCACAGAGCACTACACTCCTGCAAGCCGACCCCAAGAAATAGGTATCACAGCCACGTGAAGAAAACCGGTCATATAATACCGGGTATGTTCTGAGATTCGTCGAGCATCCAACAGCTTTGCCTCACCACAATGTTCCACAATGAGCATGGGCCCAATCAAGTGGATCCACGTCTCCTCAAAAAGATCGGGCTTGCCACCTGCGCCATGTCCTGCACCTGCAGGTGTGCTGGAGCAGGCGCGAAACGGATCTGCTGGGATGCACACTGACACGCTGAGCCCTCCTCGCAGTCTTACAACCTTGCAACTTAGAATGTGGCGGCACATAAGGACCGACTCGCAGAAAGTTCGGTAACCCAAAACCACCAGGCGTGTCCGAATCACCATGTTTAGGCTCGGGGCGTTTCACAACTTTATTCAACCCTAAATGAGTGCCATCAAGGATGATTCGTCCTCATTCTTTGGGGGCAATTATGTCACATGAATGTAAGTTGTAGTGTGGGTCGAAAGGGAGTGGTTAGGTAGCTTGTAACTAGGCAGCAGCTTCACCATAGCTTGAGCACCTTTCTGTAGCACCTCTTGAGTCTGCAACTCAACAAAGCTGGGAGCCTTTGGCTGGATCCGCAAGTCGAATCGAGTCTGGTGGGAAGGGCCTCGCATTCCCACAGGCCACAGGGCTGCAGCCACTGACCGCTGCAAGGGGTCACCCGCAAGAGGCTGTTCACGAAAGACAGCTTGGGGGGCTTGAAGGACTTCATGGCTGAGGGCGTGCTCCCTCACTGAGGGCTTGCTGCTTGCTTCAGCGCAACGAAGATAAATACAAAGACAAGTCGAGAACATCGGCGGCGCTCTGTTTTGTTGGAGCCTCTGCAAACACAAGGCTAACACAAGGTTCAAAAAGACGTCTTGCCTTCAAAGGCTTTCTTCGGGGGCAGGTATGTGTGGCATGTTGCGCAGACCCTCAAGTACAGCAACTCACCTTGGAGCTGCAGCATGCACTGGGCTCATACAAACCATGTCAAAACTTCAGACCCCTGTGCCCCCTGTACCCCCCTGTACCCCCATCTACCCCCACCATCCGCCTCTACCCCCCAAACCCCACTCTACCCCAAAGGCAGAGCATCCTTCTTGCTGCCCTGCCGCGGTCGGCATGCAACCTCTTGGCCTTGACAGCAAGGGTATGGCGAGGCCAGGCTTGGCAGTGAGCTGCTCTTAGGGCCCCTTGTTAGGGGCGTGGGCGATTTGGGGCTACAGGCAGGGTTCAAGGCATCAAGGCGGATTTGCTGCGAGCTTCAGGCGTTTTTCGGGTCTCCCTACGTGACACCGACAGCTTTATGGTGATGGCAATCGGCTCAGCCAGGTGTGCTTGACATCTCTGACAATTTGACAATAGAGTCGGGGTAGGTAGGATTGTCCAAAGAGAACCTCTGAGAAACTCAGCGTTGCTGTCTAGAAGCTGCTTGAGGAAGGTTTGTGCCCGATTTGTGCCCTGCTTTTTTGGCTTCCGGGCATCGGAAGAAAAGCGCCGATGCAGCAAAGAGGCTCCGCAGCTGCATGCCAAGGAAGGCTTCGCAAGCTTCTACGGCTCGTCAAACTGCTTCCCTGCACAACATTATAAGAGTCCAAAAACTGGACCCGATTTCAAGATACTGGGCTTTTCCAGCGCGGGCACACTCACTACGTAGGCTATGCTATCCTGGATATGATGTAAAACGCTTTGAGCCTTGAAAAATATCCGCCGGGGGTTCTAATTCTTCGCGCCCTGCCGGTGGCCTTCCAATCCCAAAACTTGTTTCTGATGCCAACGAGGGACAACCTGCAGAAGTTCTAAGAGTTGTGGGGCCTCTGGCAGCTATCCACCTGCTTCTGCCAATGTGAATGCTTATTGACAATAGAGAAACTAGGCTAACTAGGCCTGCAGGTGCTGGCCCAAGCGATCCTTCCCAACTCTCTACCACGCGAGCTTGCAACACGATGGTCAGAACGGATTGCTGCAATGGCGGCGCGTAGTTTTTTTTCTCCGGGGTTTCTGGTCAAAATGTTCAGAACTGGACATAACAAAATGAATGCCTTCCGAGATCCTGAGAGGGTCTCAAGGCACATCATGGCCAATGGCAAAGCTGAACATCTCACTTAGATTAGCTGTCGCAGTATCTCCTGACCACTCTGACTGAAAAGCCTTTCAGACCTGCAGGGTGGATAGCCAGAAGCGCTACCCCATTTTTGGGGTAGCGCTCGAATGGCGGCTTCCCACCCATGGCTGCAGATTGAAGGCAGCAGGCTGGTCTGTGTGGCCCTGCTAACTTTCTTTACCTTGTGAATGCGCAAATGCTGCACTGGTACCATGTGTGATGCTAAGCACACTTTGCAACAGCAAGCAGGTGCCACTCGGAATCGTGACAAAAATGTAGCGGGTCTGTGTCTGTGCTCCTATTGAACTGGCTGACGTTCAGCCGAGCCACATCTACATTTAATTTACAAGCTTTAGCGGCTAGAAAGAATGATGCTGTGCATCATCTGGCTGCGGCAGCTCAAAGAAAAGATCTCGAGAAAACTCCATCACTGCACCTGGATCTCCAGGCTGATTTCTTGCCTCTGAGTCGCTGTCTGAGGTGATATGAGCCATGGCCTCTAGGTCACTGGGATCTGGTGCACAGGTGGGCCTCATGGCTGGGGAAAGCTGCTTCTGCAGATCTTTGCTGTCCGTGTTTTGCCGGAAACTGTTGCGCACGCTCCCCGGGCTCACGGAACTTAGCAAGTCCATTGCCGTAGGGGCTCCCGGGCTTCCCCGGCCGGTTGCTGTCTTGCTCATCACGCCACCATCCATGGAGGCCAATAGGCGCTTGCTGATCTCCTTGGCCTGTTGCTGAAGCATGGGCTCTGCGCCATGAGAGCAGCTGAAAGGCATAGAGATCTTCTTGAAGATGGCTTTGTATGCATCGACTAGGTGAGGCCCCACGTCTGGCCCAAGATCCTCGGTGCCCAGGCCCTGTCCATGCAGGACTGTGTAGAACTCATGGCCTGGATACACGAAGCTGGTGTCTGCATTGACGGTGAGGAGCTGCTTCCAAGCCAACCCTTGCCTCTCGCCCCCAGAGTGAGATGATGCAATCGAAGGCACCTTGGTCATCGTAAGCTCCGAACCAGTGCCATCATTGTCCCTCGTCTGTCGACTTGCTTCCAGGACCATCGCACCAAATGTCGGATTGTAGAGCAGCCCTTTGTGCAGCAGCACCTGGCAGGCTCCAACGCATGCAGCCATCTAAAGATCTACATGCAGGCTTGGAGGATCGAAGCTGTGATGCTCGCTTCTGGGATCGGGTGATGTGTACAGGGGTGCTGTCACAGCAGGGCACACAGACATTGCGTTACGCAGGCGAGCATCTAGCGTGGAAGGACCAACTTCGATAGTTGGCACTGCTGCTGAAAACTTTCCCACGCGGAATGAATCTCCAAGAACAGATGTGCCCGACCCAGGCCAGTTAAGTCGCAGGGCAAAAAAGCATAAGCACATGGGTATTCCCCAAGAAAGGGCTCCTTTCTGCCCCCTGTATACCCCAACATAGAATAGAATCCCCTTGAAGGGACCCCCTAAGATAAGGTTACCCCACCCCCCCCTTTCGGAAATATAAGCCAAGGCGCCACCAAGCTGTCAGCGTTGGGCAGCGCCGAGCTAAATTCCGCAAGCGTCCGCGGCCCGTGCACCCGCTCCTGGAGCAGTCGGTAAGGTTTCCCCCTAATACTCACAGTCCTTAATAGGGATGATAATTACGGACTGCTAGTTTTAAGGGCGCACATCCCAAAACTAGGGTTCAGGCGGTTTAGGGTCTTCCCCGCGCTCGTTTCAGTGCAATACTGGCACCCTCAAGGCTCCAGCACTGAGGTGTCCCTCTGCCCTGAAGGAGCCTCTAGTTGCCAAAAACCCTAAACTCTAAACCCTGAACCCTAAGCCCTAAACCCAACAAGCCAGGTTCTGCAGCCAACAGGCTTTTGCCAGAACATGTTCCGCGTTTTGTTTTGCCTATGTGCTCTGATCAGGTTTTTCGGCTTTTGCGCGTACAGGGTTGCCACATAGCTTTGCACTCTCCATTTGTTTACGCACGTTCTTCACAGTGCGCGTTGGCAATTGGAGTGTACTCTTGCTTAAGGCCAAAGCTTCTTAACAAGATTCAGGGACCCTGGCCTCTGGAAATTCGAGAGCCCTGGCCTTAATCCCAGGCCCCTCCATTCGGAACCCTCAATACTGGGGCACTGGTGTGGGACCCCCTAAACCCGAAGCCCTAAACCTTAAACCACCCCTGCCAGACTCCCCCCTCCCCCCACCCCCTCCATGTTTTCCTCCTGGCCCCCAGGCCTCTTAGCCGCTGGGTTTCGAAGCCACTTTGGATTCAAGGCCAAGCTCTGGAACTCTTGAGCTCCCAAAACCTTTTAAACCCTTTTAAACCCTATAAACCCCATAAACCCGGTAAACCCTGCAAACCGCAAAAAGCCTGATAAGCCCTGTAAGCCCTGTAAACCCTGTAAGCCCTATGAACCAGCAAATTTTGGATTTCAAGCACCTGGCCTTTGTTTTCAAGGGCTCTGGACGTCTTAAGGCCAGGGAGCGGCCAAGGACTTCGCAGTTGGGTTTCTAAGGCCTGGCCTCCTAGGGTTAAAGTTTTAAGCCCAGCGCGCTGGGCTTCAGATCTCAAAGCCTTGGCATTTTCTTTTCAATTCCCGGCTCATGCAGCCTCAGGGTGAGGGAGCCTTGGAGTGGACTCAATGGCAGGGCCTCTTGGCTCCAACGGGAGAGGCCGCAACCCCTTCCAAGGGGGGGGGGGGGGAAGGAGGGGTCTCTAAACCCTCAACCCCTTCAGGCTGTTCGCATTCCCTTCTTGCCCCCTTTTAACTTTTACAGACTCACCCTTATTAAAGGGGGACTGTTTGAAGAGAGACAAAATCGGGTTCGACTGTTCAGGGGTGCAGGGGGGGGAGGGGGGCCCTCTCACACCACAGAGGGCGGAACATTTCCCTGTTGATGCGATCTGTCTCCAATGCAGCTAAGGACTGTGCCTGAAAACTGAGGCAGCAAAGCACCAGCCTTCAAAGCTCTGACTCGCAAAATTTCTGCTCTAATGTGGGTTTTGCTGACATCTTTGTTTATCCTTTCGTTGCATTGCATGGCCAAGAGCTATAGATTCTCGTTTCTTCAGGTCTTGCAGCCTTGCAGCGCGCCTCTAAGCGCGAAAAAGCTAGCCCCATCACTTATCGCCAAAGCGGCCCAGCTTTGCTCAACCTGCTTAAATTTCTTATGCGTGGAACATGTCACCTCCCCAAAATGGGAACAGCTATCCGAACAAGGGCTCAAAGACTCTGCTGATTCTGCTTTCTTCAAAGGCAAGAATCACATCCTCACAGCCTCCATAAAAGGACCCCCTCTCCTGCAGAAGCCGCTGCAGCAGTATTTGAAGCACCATGCTGGCAGACATCGCTTCTGCATCCTGACAGCATCTTGAACATTCTTGAACATCTTTCGCGTAACTTTTTGCGGTACCGGGCCAGGCCTCTGTGTGCCCGATGATCAGGACCTTGTGAAGAAAGGGCGGCTGAAGCTTCAGCACTAGAAAGTGCAGTGGGCTGCGAGGTTAGAAGATGTGTGCCTTATGGCCTTATGGCCTGTAGAGGAACGTCATGCACTAGCAGCCGTTCTCGCAATATCGGAAAACATCTACAACATTTACTGGCGGCAAGAAGCACTGTAGTCAGCAGCACTTGCGAAACTTGTAGGCATATTGCAATGGCAAGAAATTCTACTCTGACTAGACTCAGATGAGGTCTTGCGGTTGTATGAAGTGAGTAGGGGCACCCATAGTTGCGGTAGGAGCCTTAGACACTGCCGATAACATTGTTGAGCCCCGAGAAGCACAACTAGTATGCCGATCTGAAGTTGAATGCATCAATCGGAGTGGATGCCTGCATCGTTTCGAGCTTGTAGCATCAGACTTCCCAACCAAGACGTGCGAAGAATGCTTGCTTGTGGAGGAGGCCCTGAATCGCCCCTAAAGTCTGAACCTTGCATTTCGTTAATTTCGTTCTCTCCAGCAGCGGCACCTGCGGCTTCCTTGACATGCCAAGGTGCACGTGCACCCCCTGATGTGGAGGCAGAGTCCACGAAACGGCGACGTTTCATCTCCTCAGTGCAGGGGGGCTGTGACTGCAGGCTTGGTTCAAAGAAATCTCAAGGCGATACAGGGCTCAAGGGTTTTTGAGAAGGATGTGCATAACACATGCTCATCCAACTTGTCAACTGCCTCACTTCCCTTTGGGCCGAACGCAGACACCGCAAAGCTTAGCAAATTGAGCTTGCAGCCCAAGCGTCGCTGCTGGTGATCATCCGAAGGATGGTCGATTCTTGATCCTGCACGCTTTCAGTTGTCCGTGTCTTGGCCTCACATGCCCAGATCCTGCCCATGGCTTGCATATTCCGCAGTACTACGATTGGGGGCAGCCCCAGTCTGCAAACCTGCTTGGACTTTATCCTTCTGTACAATATACTCGTGGACTCCTCCATAGAGTCCCGACGGCGGAGGGTGATAGTTGGCAGGGCATAAACGTGCTCGATCATATCGTCGATCATCTCCTGCAGTGACTTCATAGAGAACACGAAGTCCCCCAGCATCACTCTGACGGGATGGCCCTCACTTCTGCTAAGTCTTTATATTCTTCGGGTGCTGAACAAATCTTACTGGCTGCGTGCCACTGGCAATGGGAAGTTCTTTAGGGCTCTTAATCATATTCCGCTTTGTGGGGGTAGCATCGCATCTGGCCAAGCATCAGCGCGATAGCAACTGCGAATCAGCTGCATGAACCCCCCATCAACAACCCTAAAACCTAAACCCTTTTTGCAGCAGGCTTGCGTGAATGCTCGCCTTGAAACCCTAAACCCTAAACCGCAAACCCCAAACCCTAAACCCTATAAACGCTAAACCCTCCGGTTGCCTCATTGATGCCCACGGCCAAGAGGGGCTGAAAGTCGTCGGGGCTCCAGGAGTGCACAAGCCTCTCATTGACTCATGGGGTTTAGGGTACAAGGGTTTAGGGTTTAGGATGGGGCTTGTTTTGGCGCCCGCATTCCCCCCCCCCCCGGTTGGTATTTCTCGCTGCCCTCTGTGATATGCCAAGCCCAGCTGTGGCGACTGGCGTACCAGCACGGCTGTACATCACCGTTGCAGGTGCAAGCACTACAGACTGACATGCCAGAAGCCAGTTGTTGAAGCTAGTAGCAGCTAGTGATGGTCTTAGAGTGCTGTTTCGGTGGTACGTCAACCTTCGGGAGACATGTTCATTGCAAGCCGTTCTTGTGCTCCAAGGGTCTGTGCTGCATTCAGCGACGAGACGATTCCTCAACACACACACACACAAGCGCTGCGGGAGCACCGTAATGTCAGCTTCTATTGTCCACCCGTCTACTGTACACAGGCTTCGATGCGTGGTGTTGAGGAAGGCTTTCTGTTCTCACCAGGTTTTCGGCAGTTTGATGTTTCTGGACCGGGCTGAGGCTCTGATATCCTAGATCATCATGTCTCACTAGTAGTCTAAGATGCACATCTTGCCTTTCTCCGTTCCACGAAGCTTCGCCTGGCTTAGTTTTCGTGGACAAGTTTAGCCCTCACGGTGTCAAGTTCCTGGCCACGTCCACCAAGTCTCTGCAGCCGTCGACAGAGATGGGCAAAATCGGCACGCGATTGAAGTGGGCCTCAGACCAATCAGGGAATTAGCAAAGCTCATCAAGGCTCGAAATGCCGGATTCGGAAATTGTGTCTGCAGTGATAGGTCGCTTGCTTCCCAGGTCCATGGCCAAAGCAATCAAAGCAGTCAAGATTGCATTATAACAAATTCTGAAATCAAGCCTTAAACGCCTGCCCGAGGAGCAGTGACAAGCTCCCCGACACACCAGGGGCGAGTCATCCTGTCTTCCAGCATTTGCTGCTTTGAAGTTTAGGGGGGAATCCGGGCCCCTTAAACCCTACAGCAAACAGCAAGCGCTGCGCAAGCACTGCGCAAGCACTGCTTGAAAAGTGCAAGTACTTGCAGATGAGGAGTCCATGAACAAAATTCAAGACCACAAGTGCAAGCTAGCAGCATGTGAGGTGTGAGCAACGGCACGAGGTAGGCCACGTTGCTGCGTACCTTGTGGCACTGTGCTGGCTGAGAGCTGCAATTTGATACCGGCACTCGAGTTCGAAGGCAGTGCTAGGAAGGAAAGGAAAGGGAAGGCAAGGGTGTCGAGCTCACCTGTCAAGGTTGCAAATTCACATGCAAGAAGGTGAAGCAGTAAACTCCCAAGAATGCCATTTGGTCCAGTACAAGAGACGTACATTTTCTTGGGGGCCTACCCTTGTTTCGGTCAAAAACCAAAAGGAAACGAGGAATTCCATGCCTAGCACGGCCCTCCCGGGCCTGAATCAATAGGGCCTCAAAGAACACTTCTGAGGGTTTGAGGTTCTTGGGGCTTTGGATTTTGGGATACGAGTTCTGCACCTGGAGGGTGCTGCCATGTCGATGCATCTTGTTGCTGCCAGTATCCATTCTAGGCCTTTAGGATACGAGGACTGCGGAGGGAAGGTGGGTCCACAAACATAAGGGTCAGCTACGCTCTCGAAGAGTGAGTCCAAGTCCTGCAGTTCGTCAGAATCCAGGAAAACCTTGGCTGGGAAATGCAACCGGTGATTCATAGTTGTACTTTGTCTAGGCTGCTACTGGAAAGCGGGCGAGCTCGCTAGAACCATGTCAGGCCACTTGTCAACCGCAAACGGACGCCAAACACTGTGAGCAACGTCATGCCGACCACATCCACACCGCAGGCCGGACAGCACACCAGCAAGCTAATTACGTACACTCGACGCCATTGAGCAGATCGTCAAGTTTGCGAGCAAGCGGCAAATACAGACACATGCGCCAACCAGCATACAACAACAGATCTCGTCGCGGGAGAACTTGAGAGAATCGCAATGTTCCATGAATGTCCAAGCAGCTTTGTCATGCGAGTGCTTGCTCATAATGCTCTTGATGAAACGCGCAAGTGCCCCAGCCGCACCTGAATTGCACAAACACCCCTCTCACAAACTCAGTGGTCACTGGTGTTTTTCCCTCAGGAAAATGTTGTCAAAATACACGGTTGTTTTGCCGACATACTGTCGTTTTCGCTGCCATCGCGGCTGCTGCTGCTGCTGCTGCTGCTGCTGCTGCTGCTGCTGCTGCTGCTGCTGCTGCTGCTGCTGCTGCTGCTGCTGCTGTTGCGCTTGGGATTGGGATTGTGGTTGTGATTGTGAGTATGGGGGGGGTGGCGGTGGCGGTGGCGGTGGCGGTGGCGGGGGCGGGGGCGGGGGCGGTGGCGGTGGTGGTGGTGGTGGTGGGGGCGGTGGGGGCGGTGGTGGTGGTGGTTATGGTTATGGTTATTGTTATTGCTATTGTTGTTGTTGCTGTTGCTGCTGTTGTTGGTTGTTGTGGTGGTCGTCGTCGTTGCCACTCTTTCTGTCAGTTGACGAGGCATGCTTGCCAGCTCAAAGAGCTATGACCTCCACAGTATACAGTGTGCCTATGTGTGCCCAGTGTAGGGATGGACTCTCCTGACTCCTACAGATGGCTTTTCCAGCCATCAAGGATGCCTTTAATTGGGGCTCTCAGGCACTCTTGTGATGTGTCAAGAAGATCTTGTAGGTCTTCTCCTTAGATTCGGATGCGCAACCGCAACAACAACAGCAGCAGCAACAGGGCGAACTGAATTCGCAAAACCTAAGCTTCAGCACCAAGTCGGTTCTGTCCCACCAACTCAAAAAAACCGACTTGCAAAAGTTACCCAGCTACCGCGATGACAGGCAGTTGTGAACCAGATCGCATGGACAACCGCATCTCTACAGTTGTATTTACAGATAAGTCCCACACCGCCCCCTCGCGACCCCGTGACACACTGCGCACCGATTTCCTGGGATGCAACCACATGACTAGCTGACCGGATCTTCCTCAGTCCTCACCCTCAGCCGTACCAATCTGAGGACTGTGCCGAGGTCGGAGCCCAGGCTCCAGATTCTTCGTCTACGGCTTTTTGCTCCGAACGTGCAATCTCCGGAGCGTTGGCTGCAAGCCGGAACAACTTGGAGGCTATATGCACGCGTGCCAGACTTTAAAAAAAATAGCTCAAAGGCCTCGCTCAAACAGGTCTGTCGAGGCCCTAACCATCTTAGCATTCAGGGCGAGCTTTGACCTGCGCGCGGCGTGGAGCCTTCCCTTTTGCCAGACTTCTGAAAAGGAGAGCAGGGCCAGTACCAATTGGAAAACAGAGAAGCTGCGAACCCTAAGGGGACACAATCAAAGTATTGCAACCAAGCCTGGCAGCAAAACCCCGAAGGATCCCTAAACCTTAAACCCTAAACCCCCAAACCCTAAGTACCGAAAACACGAACGACCAAGTCAAGCCTCTGGGTGGCACCGTCCTTTGTGAAGAGGCTTGCGCATGTTTAGGGTTTGGGGTCGGGGCGTTCCCCCTTATTCTAAGGGTTTAGGGCTTTGGGTTTTGGGTTCAGGGTTCAGGTCAACTTCAGGCTTGTCGGGTTGCAATGTTCCCCCTTATGCTAAGAGTCCTTAATAGGGATTGGAGTACCCCCCATTACCATCCCGATTAAGGACTGTTCGTATAAGGGGGAACATCCCAAGTTTAGGGTTTAGGGCCCGTTCAGGGGTTCGGACGTAGGTTGCTGCGATCGGGTTCTCAGGGGTTTAACTCTAGAGCTTCTTTGCCACTTGGTGCTACGCGGTCTGTGGCCTGGGAGTGCTCTGAGATTTGCACATGTGAGATCAAGAGCCATGGCGCAATCTGATGGCTTAGGCGACAATGACACCAACAAAAGCCTGACAAAGCCTTGCAAAAACAGCTATTTGATGGCCTGAAGCACTGATCGGCCAGGCTTCTCCATAGTAAAAGCAGGATCACCACAACCAAGGTGAGCAAGGCAAAAGCCAGCAGCATGCAGAAGGACCAGGATAGGAAGACTGCCTTCGGAGGCACGGGCTGGCTGTATATGGAAGCAAGCTAAAACAATGGAAGAACGCAGCGTCTACTTCCTGGGGAGCCCTCAAAAATCAACAGTAGCTCTGCTCAAATCGTGCCATGATGCGTAAGAATTGGTATCGTTCGCAATGTTGTCACTGAGAATGGGCCCCACCACCACCAGAAAAAGGATCACGGCTGTGGAGAAGAGCATGTCTGTGACCTGGTACAGACAGCAGAATGGAGGCTACTACGGAGAAACCTATAAGCATAACGGGTGAAAGTGCTGTGCAAATACAGGATTCAGCTGCGCCAAACTTTTGAGTTCAACGTAAACCCAAGGCATTACCCGAGGCATTCAGTTCAAACACCGGGATTCTCTTCTGATTAGTTCAAGGACACTGCAGCACCAAAGATGCGAACCCAATGCTGCGACATGACATGTGGCTTGCAGCATGTCAAGCCAAACCATGCTCCCCAGTAAACCAATGTCGCAACACAACCGCCTGTGTGCCAAAATGTGCCAAACCTTGCCCCGCAAAACTGTTGCGTTCCCTTCCAAAGCAGTTTCTGGGACCACCACGTTTGCCACCTGCGTTCTCCAAGGCCAAGTGCGGATTTGCACCAGCATTCCTCGCGATGCTTTGAAGGCTAAAGTTCGCCTGTGGGCCGATTTTTAATTTGGTCCCGCGGCGGTCCATCGCATACATTCAAATTCAAACTTGGCAGTAAGGGAAGCTGCTGCTATGCTCACCTCTCTTCTGGAGATAATATCCAATTTTCTGATGCATCTAATTCTATTCTTATGAGGACTGATATTACTGTGCCGGAGATTCCAAAGATGAATCCAGATAATGATTAATAAAGTCCCAAGCCTTTATGATAGCAGTATTAACTATTGATAGAAAAGATTCGGGCCAGTGAACAAATGACTTTATCATTGGCCCATCATGATTCTAATCAAAGCGTAGAGGAAAAACCAATATCCAAATGGGTACGTTCACACCATAATTGATAGGATTGCGTACGCCCGTGCGTTCATATGTTCACTTACTCCCTTACAAATATTATGTATTTCGTTTCTTCTATTTCGCTCGCTTGTTCGCTTGATAATATGATGAGTTCGTTCCAGCGCCAGTAGAAATCTCTTGATCAAGATCCATCACCGATAAACATTGGACTCACCGGGTGTTCATCCTAGTTTTGTTCACATATTACCTTTGTTCTCTCTCATAAAGACTGTTGGTACGTTCGCCAGGCTCCTTCACTTTGTTCTCTCTCATAAAGACTTTTGTCACGTTCGCTCAGTTCCTTCACCCCGTTATAATATTACATATCTGGAGAAAGAACTGAATGAATGCATTAGCGAAGCGAACGAATGTAATGCACGAACGGTGTGAACGGCCTGAAGGAAGCGTCTGCAAGGTTGCGACACAAGACTCTGAGAACTTGGATGTAAAACTCAAGTCTTTGGTAACAGCCTGCCGTGCATTTAAAGGCCCACGAAAGCCCCCATGAAAAGAATTTCTTTGTTGGGGTCTTTAATGGGTCCTTCAATGCGGCAACCAGTCAATGGTGGATTTCCTGTTCGCCGTACCAATATCATTATAAGCTCGCGCATGAATACTATGAATAGGGGTAAACTAGTGAACAAGGAAAAGGAAAACATGTGCAACAATGACGTCCTTTCTGTAAGAACAGGAACAGTAGCTTCTGCCTGCTCACGAGCCTACTGCCACGTCAAACGTGCAGTTGTTCGCGTGTTGTCGCCTGTGCCTTCATGCCTGTGTCAGCGCGCGCTGGGTTTGTAGGAAACTGAAACATCTCATGGTCGGCCAAAGCCCGCTTACACGTCTAACGCTCTCCGGCTACTCTCAGGGATGATGCTTGTGCTAGGCACAGTAGCAGCTAAATTCCATCCGGTGTCCTGCGAGAAGCACGGCCGCCAGCAACACGACTTGGACGGTGGGAAGGCTAGCCACGGCAACAGGAATCAGGGACAGAAGCGTGTTCCTGCCAGGCCAGGGTTTGGCACAGATATGGCTTGCAGGAAAAGCCTGCAAGCTCTGTGGGACTTCAGCCTCAGACCTGCAAGAATGTGGGTCCTGACGCGCGGCTGGGCGAGCAGTGTTTCTTGAGCGAGGGTTCGAACTATCAACATCCATAGCAGTATTCCGAGTTTAGTTTGTGCGGTGCTTCACGCTGGAAATACCTTCCCCCACCCCACCCAATCCCGGCGCAAATCTCTACATCTCACGAAGCCCCCGGGATGCAGTCCTCAGCAGATAGGCGACCTCACATGAACGACCGGCGGAACCCTGTATTCGTTGAACGTTGCGCAACATGCTTGGTGGGCCCCTATCGGTTTTCGAGGATTAGCACCCCTACAGATACTCACCAATAGAACCCCGGTGGCTTTCCGAGGAAATGTTGTAACACCCAGAAGGAATGCAGCTAAAGACGCGATGGGATCTGAACAAGGGAGTTGACCCTGCTGGGTCACAAGTCAGAGTGCAGGACCTGGACACCAGACAAACAGATTTAACAGCTAGAGGCACGTATGGGCTGCGAAAAGTCGGAGAACCCTGGGGTGCAGACAGGCCTCAGGGTAGGGCTTAGGGTGTAGTGCCTTTGAGTGCGAGGACGCCGCTTAAACTCTCGCCCTCCCCCCTGTCAAAACAGGGCACAGTCCAGGGATGTGGGTTGTGTTCCACTTGCCTCCTCTCCTACCGTTCAGCTGGTAGGCTCAGCTGCAGGCTTTGGCAGAGAGGATCGGTTGAAAGACTTCTGGATGCTTCTATTGCAGACTTTTGCCGAGAGTTCCAGGCAAATAGCTGATGCATGTGCAGCTAGCGCACGTGCAGGCGATGGCTCGTGCCTGATTTTGTGCCTGCACAAGGTAAAATAAAACACAGTTGCAAAACCTCCAAAGAACCCCTGTCTGCAGTTGCAGCCACCCCATAGTAGTAGCGACTGGCACCTCGGATTCTTGGGGATCCCTGCACTTTTGGTGAGGGGCATTTAAGCTTGCAAGATCCCATCAGACTTCAGGCCGGGTAGGAAGTGTTGACGAAACTTTAAATGGTTTCGGCCATAGTCATGACAGCGGTGGGCGTACAGTAGCTATACGAACATATCCAAGATCGCGAACAGCCGAGCAGTTCCATCTTGCATTTAACATCATTTAACAAAAGATTATTTGCACCAATGGTACTGTTTTGCCGTTCATCCTTTCCCCTGACATTCGAGTTGAGCCCGAAAAGCATCCCGGAGAGCTGCTGCAGAAGAGGGCTCTCTCAGTGTTCTATCAGGCTCCTGAGGCTCCCGAGGCTTCAGAGGCTCCTATGCAGCTGAGGGGTTGCCTCGCCACCCCAACAAGACCAGGGCGCGAAAACGCTCGAAAAGGAATCGGTATCGGTTGACGATGAGCAGTCCCTTCCCCGAGCTGATGTAGGACCTTTGCATGCTCAAGAGTCCTCATGTGCGCTCAAGTTTTTCAGGGAATGAGGTGGACTTCTGGGCCGTGAGTTTGGGCAAGGCACGGATACATGATTGTAGCCCGGAGGGCCACGGAAAGAATTCCCACTGGATACATGAGGATGCCGAGGACGCACATGAACAACAAGGCCCAATGCTCATCGGACTCGAAGCATATCCTGAAAAAGACTGCTGATGAAATTGAGTTTGACAGTGCGTAGCTGTGGCACTCGCAAGACATCCAGGGAACTGAGGGCCCTACACACCAGGCTGCGTTTGCATGCTGTACGTTCCGTTGGGGTTGGCGACGCATTGCAGCGGCAAGAGCGAGTTGATGGTCAGGGTCATGTACAGCGTGAGCAAAGCCAAGCCGTTCATGTTGATGACGTCATTGCGTGTTACCTGCAGCGCGGCACTCTCTCACTCTCATTTTGATAGGCCTGAACATCGGCAACTAATTTTGCACTTGACAAACGCCCTGTTGTCTGGGCCACTCGCCTCCAGCCCCAGGCGGCTGATGCATACCTGAAAGCAACGTGCCAGAGCCACTTGTAGTCTTGACTTATTCGGGTGTTAGGTTGCCTTTGATCTTTAAGCATGGACATCAGAAACAAAATTCAAAAGAACGAGGCTGAAACAAAGCAGAGCCGCCCAAACCAGCAAGAGCAATGCTGCGAAAACTGGATAGGCCAGCAGCTGCATGGCAAAAGTAAGCACGGCACCATCGTTGGATACGACGCATCCTCTGCTCAGTGCGGAAGAAGTAGAGAGCCCCAAACAACCCAGGACTAGAACTCACATCTGCGCTGGTCCTTCCATCATCTACCGGCCCTCAGTAACTTTAATCTCTCATGCTCTCCTCCTGCTGTCTGACCGATCCATCCATCTAGGGGCTCTACCTTGGACCCTTAAGGTTGTACCCTTGAGTTTGGGGGTCCCTTTTTACGGATCCCTGAGGGAATATAAGGGCCATATTAGGGGTACATTAAGGGGAACCTTTAGTAATACAACCTTAGGGGTACGAGGCTTCATCCCTTGAATCCAGCAATGATTGCTGCGCCAACGCTATGTCAACTTTTTGTTGGGAGGCCTAGCCTGCTAGGAACAGCGCCTGTGCGGGCTTGCACATAAGTGGCTTTCCGCATCCCATCAACGCTGGTCCTACGTTCAAAAAGTCCACGTCGAAGGCGAAGATTTCAAGAAAGTCAATCACATGCAGAGCGGGTCCTGAACTCAGTCGCCACACGGCTGCGTTTGTGCCGATCAAATGGAAGCACCATGATTGCAGCGAGGAACGTCCCCAGGCATTCGACAGTAGCATCCCGTTTTTATAGCGCTGAACCTGAAATCTGAAGGTAAGCCCTGTTCCATTCTGTGGCATAGAGTGTCAACCCTTAGCCCCGAAAACAGAAACTTGGACCTTCAGCTGAGACCCAAGCTCCCAAACACGAAGCCCGACAGAAAAGAACTCACCAGAACTCATCCCTAGCTTACCCTGAGCCTTTAGAACTTTAGGCTTCAAGGCCGCGCCTGTCCATTGCAGGTCCAAGTTCCTCCCCGGGAAGCTGGTGTTTGGGTTTAGGATTTAAAGGGTTTAAAGGGTTCAAAGGGTTTAAAGGGTTTACAGGGTTTAAGGGTTTAAAGGGTCTAAAGGGTTTAAAGGGTTTATCTCTAGATTTAGAGCTTGCAAGCTTGAAGGCTTGCAGGTCAGCAGTACATGTCAGGTGGCCTTCTGGAGCCAAGCGGTGCCCAAAGTTGGCACCATCGCCGGGGGAGCTCTTCTAGAGCATTGGGGGGCCGACAACTTTGTTTGGGTCGTGTCCAATGAAGGCTTGCGCTGCACGAACGACTCTTCTTGTCATCCAGATTCATCCTCCAGACTTCAAACCCAGCTCTGCTAGAAAGCCCCCGTACCCCCGCCAAGATCTAAGCAACCAGCTGCTTGCCGCTCCTCATGGCCGCCATAAGCTGCAGCATCAGGATGATCCTTGTCACAGGGCCTATATGAAAACGAACAACCGTCAGAACCTCCAGATAAAAACCTGAAGGGTTTCGACTCTCACGCTAGCGGAACGCGGGCGAGGACTCTGGTTCGAGTGGCAAGACGTGAGACAGAATTCAGGTTTAGGGTTTAGGGTTTGAACCGTTTCTTGTGGAACTCCTTTCGTCATGCACGTTCGTGATCTGGAGCTGAGCAGGGTGTCCAAAGAAATGCTTTTGGCCCTGGTGGATCTGGTGGGGCGCATCCCTCTGGGCCTTCAATGTACCCCAAACATCATGAAGCAGGAGTCTTGCAAGTACCAACTTTTAGCACAACGGTGTAACACACAAAATCAAAATCCTTTAAGTTACACAGACACGCAAATGCCCGGATGAGAAAGCACAACATGGCAACCAACATCCCCAAACCCTGAACCGTTTTGCAGCAAGCCACCCTAAGCCCTAAGCCCTGAGCCCTGAGCCCCAACTTGGAACCAAGGAGCTGCCCAGCTGTCAGGAACACAGTCACCTGTCCGAGCCTCGGGATGAGGGATGAAGGGCGGGGGGGGGGGTTTAGGGCTTAGGGCTTAGGGCTTAGGGCTTAGGGCTTAGGGCTTAGGGCTTAGGGCTTAGGGCTTAGGGCTTAGGGCTTAGGCCATGACCGGCTGGCTCTTAGTAGGACATGAGGTACCCTATAGAATCGCCTAAAGGGTATATATATATATATATATATATACATAGGGCCCTAACTCTCTCATTCCCTACTAAGAACCAGGGGGATGAAGTCCTGTCCCTGGGCCCATGGACTAATGGACACAGATGCGACCACACATTTCAACACCTCACATTACCAGCATGCCGGCAATCTTGTCACCATGAACTGCCGCTACAGCTGAACTGCCTCCCCTCAACGCAGCATGTACCATCTGAACATCTCTGGAGGGTGCCTGCATCAAATATCGTGATATCGTGAGAGGACCACTGTGCAGACTGACTAGGAGTCTCCCCAATGTTGTGTGCAGCTTCTGGCTTATGCCTGTGGGTCGCACAGGGGCAAACTCAGCCTTTTGAAACTGCCCCTGGGATCTGTATCCGGATCTTCCCATCCGGATCTTCTGGCGAGGTAAGCTGCGTTACGAAGCCTACGTCTGAGAGCATTCAAAAGCAAGACACCGCTGACGTGCCGCATTGGTGTGGACGAAGGAGAGCAAAAGCCCTCCCAGCAGCAACGTTGCCATCATGAGCAGCAGTGCGGGCAGCACATCCACCTCGGGAAGTTCAGAACTCTGGACAGACCATTGCGTTGTTAGCATGGCCTGACTGGTCTGATTCTTGCTTCAGACAAGCTCGACTACATCACTTCATGTTCACATGCAGCTCGAAAAAGCGCATTGAGTTTCACGCACTGTACCTGATCCCCAAACTTGCCCGCAGTATTGCCGGGTTTGTAGACCAAGGCTTTCGTGGCTACAGTTGCGCCCTTTGTGAACATCGACTTTTCGCACAGTGTGGGAAGGTATGTGGGAAAGACCACGTTAGTCTACCCAACCACCGAAGCACTGCTGTCTTGAAAGGGCTTCATGCAAATCTAGCCGCGCCCTCGCACGGCTTGCATCTGCCTCGTTGACCTTGACGGTGCCACTCCTGTTCTATCATCTTTGGGGGGTCAGTAGCAAGCTATCGAAAAGACAGTGGCAACTGCACTTCTCATGCGGCCTAGTGCAACGCCTACCGCCTGCCACTTCCGGGTAGACCATCCAACTTCGCTTTGTGCGGAGGGTTCCAATTCACGATTGGAGGTGCGGATAGAACGCTGACCACTATGTAATGAGCCCTTGAGAAGATACGGTTGTGCTTCTTTAAGTTTCTTTTGGCATCCTCAACCCCAGAGAGTATGCCCACGTATCCAATCCTTACCATTGCTGGCCCAGCATGTCCCGCCGAAGCTAGCACTCGGCAGCACTTTGCTAAATGCCACGTTGATCAAGGCAGGGCCACAAACCTCAAGCCCGGAAGGCCACCCACTCCACGCCTTGCAGTTGTTGCAGGAACGACCTTCACGACCATCTGCGCACGTGCCCAAAGGCCCCTGCAGCCCATGTGCGTTGGGTTTGGTCGAAGGAAGGGGGCTTGGGCTCAACGGCCCTCACTAGAAGACCATTGCCTCATAAGGACCTGTCAGGTCTCGATGAACGAAAGCACGACCCTAAACTTGACTGTGAAGGCGAAACGCCTGGGGACATTCGTGCAGAGGACAGGCTGGGCTGTTGCAAAGCGTTTCAGTTTTGAGCTTGAACTTCAGAGCACAAGCAAGGGATCTATAAAACAAGAGAAGCCGCCCTAAAAACTAAACCCGAAACCCAAAAACCTAAACCCAACTCATGGCTTGAAGGGGAGGGCTGAAAGGAGCATCGCACTGAAGCTTTCAGGGATTTCGGCGACTTCCGCCTCGCAACGAACCACTGTAAGGTCGCTTGGAACACAACCTGCTGGTTCTTAGTAGGATGAGGTGCCAGATATAATTCCCTCAAAGGCCCTGTATATATATATATATATAATGTGAAAAAACTAAGAATATATAAATATAAATATACGCATAAATATAAGTATAAATATGAGTATAAAAATATAACTATAAGTAAAAGGAAAAAATATAAATATTAATATGAATAGTAATATAAATAAAAATATGAATATTAATATAAATATAATTATAAATATGAATAAATAAATAAATATATATATATATATATATGCATATATATATATATATAGATAGAGGGCCCTCATTCCCTCATTCCCCAATAAGAACCAGGGTGACTATGCAGTTACAAACCGCTCGGCAACCTCTGGGCACTGCCAGCTGTCTCGACATCGGAACGTTTCGAATGCCTCAGCACGTAGGGCCGAGGCTTGCAGGGACAGTCCTGGAACCTGTGTACATGTATCTGTACATAGTTGACTAAGCTGATCTTGCTAAATCTTGTTTATACCTACATGAAGATGAAACTGCAAATCGCGGGGCTTGCATAGGCCAGTTTGGCGCAGGTCTGGGAGGCAGCTGTGCTGTCAGGAGGCAGGTCGAAATTGGCGCGATATCATGAGCCCGAAGAATGCCGAATTAAACTCCAAACCCTAAACATCCTCTTTGTTGACACACTAAACCCTAACCCGTAAGCATCCCTAAACCCTAAACCCTGAGCCCCAAAGCCGAAGCCTCCTTCGTGAAGAGCTCATCATAGCAGCTTCAGGTACCCTAGTCTAGCTGCTGTGTGAAGCTGCTACTTCTGCAATGCTCCATCGCAGTGTCCTTACAATGCCTTTGAACCTGGACAGGGGGCTCCTGACGTGCCGGTCAAACATGCGACCCGGACTCTAGCAACATCAGGGTATAGGGTTCAGGGTTGAGGGTCTAAGACACCATTCATTGGGATTCTCCGAAAAGAAACGCTTGTGACTGAAAGGCCAGGGATGGCCAAGTAGGAACCTAAGACGTCGAGGAAACACAAAGCCGATGCTCTCAATGCTGCTGCCTCACACAATGCCTTGAATGCTGCCCTTGCCCCAGAATCCAGAACCGATCAGGCTTGCATTCTCCCCCGTCTGCTAGCAAGCTGCCCCCAGTGTGTTGTCCACCCAGAATCCTGCCCTCTGCAGTGGGGCGCCATTGCCTCCTGGCAAATCTCTCGGCATGCGATCAGTAAGGATCCCGAAGCCATGCAAGCATGCTGTAACATGAGTGGCGGGACAAGACCCCCCCCCCCCCCCCCCCAACAAGCAACGCACCCAAACCGCCCAAACCCTAAACCTGGCCCTGGAAAACTGCTCGGGAAGTGCTCTCGGGCCTCGACACAACAGCCCTGTGGTGCACGGGGTGCAGTGGCCGTCCGAGCTGCTGCCTGGTTGCCATGTGCGATTACCAAGGCCGTGCGGAGTTGGTGGGAAAATGGTTGTTCAAGTCTTTAGGTCTTGCATGGAAACGGATGCATCAAAGTCAAACAGAAGGACGGCACGTTTGTCGCAAATGGCCACTCATGCGATCAGCAGTTTTCCCGTCGGCTGTAACGGGAGCTGAAAGCCTGTGGTCATACTGGATGTTGTTACGGCGTTTGAGCATGGGTTTTAGCCATCGCTCAGCTGTTTGCTTGCAGATTTGCAAGAGCTGAGCATCGTATGCTCTTGACGTGCTGCCTAGATGCTGTTGGAAGCGCCCACGAGGAACTCCCCGGGGAGGCAAATGCACAGAGCGGGATCTGTCACACCCTGCTCCGCGGTGCCCTTACCTCCCCCACACTGAGTGCACGTGCTAGAGCCTTCCTCTTCACTGTAAAAGCCACGCTGGCAAAGAGAACACCTCTCTGAACCGTTGTTAGGCGCTTCTTGGCCAGGGTCACATGGACTGCATACCAGAGATCCTGTCTTCCCGCGGCTGGAATAACCTGGTGGACACGGCTGACATTCCACTGACGACGGCAGAGCCTGGAAAGTGCCCACCGGACACGCCTCACAGTTTGACTGCTCTGCAAATGGCTGAAAAGTCCCCGGATCGCATGGGCGGCATGGGGCACCGTCACCGATCGAAGCAGTACCAGCTGCGCACGGCGTGCAAACGCCATCGGCATCCGCCTGCCTGCCTGAAGGACAGTCAATTATCCGCAATGGCGGTGTGAGTACTTCGAGCACCACAGGTGACAGAGCTGCTGGCACGCCATTGATGTCCACCTGAATGACCTGTGCACCAGACCCTTCCACATCGTACTCGAAAAAATACTCCTGCGTGTCCTCCTGGCCCAAACTGATGTTTCGAACATCAGCCGCGTGCCAATTTCCATCAATACTAGTGCGAACACGCACACTGGTTACCAGTGGCGCATTGATGGCAAGCCGGCTGACAGTCCCGATCTGATCCAAAAGTACCCACCGGATCTTCTGTCCGGCAAAGACCTGACCTTGGTGGAAAAGCAAGCTGACAAAGTGGTTGACAAATCTTGACAAACCACGTGCAGCGCAAGCGACAAGCCACCGACTGGTACAACGAGAGCATGCTCAAGCACTTTTTTTAGCCCAGTGGCCACACACAGACATGCGTTCGCAGCTGCTCGCCACACGGGTGTCGTTGTTCACCTCAGAAAAGCGCACTGCACGTGGTGCGCCCGTGCGAGACTCATCGTGCGAAGCCGATCTGGAGTCTGCAGCTCCCATCTGTACACCTATATGCTATGGCTATGTCTGTACCTGTTCTTGCTGAAGCCGCCGCGATCACCCCCCTCAAAAAAACAACCATGTGCGAGAGGAAGGATCAGAATTCTTTTTGCAGTTGTTGCAAAGGCGGTTGTAGTCTAGCCATAGCCTTTACATCTCCAGTCTGCCCCGAACTCATCTGGGCAGATGCAACGGCACCTTCTCCACATCGATGTTGCCTCTCCAAGCCGTGCTTGACAATGAAGCTTTCAGCACCTTACCGGATGGTCTGGGTTGCGGGGGAGGAGTGGGTCGCTTTGTGGCCAACAAACTTCAACCTTTTCGGCTGGCATCAGCAAAGTCAGGGCGCATACTCTGGATCACGTAGCTTCGCGCATGGGGAGCACAGGCAGCTGTAGCCTTCGCGACAATCCTCTCGAGTCATGGCGGTTGGGGTTGGAGATCGGCAGCTGGCAAGATAACAGCACCTTTGTAGGGGTTCGCGTTGCCAGGCAAAAGTATCCTTCTTGGGTATGCCCAGGGACACTATCAGGAACAACAGTTGACGAATATCCGCCAATGCTCCAGCCCCCTACATTTCGCCAGTCCCCAACAAAGCATGTCTAAGTGCCGGGGTTCTAGAAGTCAACTTCCGAGCCCCCTGGCACGCCGGCGGTCCTCGCAGAAGACCTTGTCCCTCGCCTTCTTCACAAAACCACTGGGGCAGTTGATTGCCTCCTTGGTCACCAGAATTATTCGGGCTCTGTTGAATGCGGACTTCCAGAGTGTCCCTCTGTGTTTTGCCAGGGTTTCTCCTCTCAGTCCAAAACCTCAGCCACAACCCTTTTGAGGGACATGCCACCTCATTCCGGGGAACCTCGGAACAGAAAGCGGCCTCCTCGGTTCTTGCAAAAAGGCCAGACTAGCAGCTACTAGCAGAACGGTCGGAAGATACTACCGGCCTTGCAGTAGCGGCAGGAAGCGTCGCACACCACGCATGAACCGAGTTGCTCTGCAACCCTGGAAGCCACAACTTGTCGAGACCCCTGCCCTTCCCTTTCCTCTGTCTTCCAAGTCTTATGTCGCCCCAGGTCCACAGGCCTGCGCTCAGCCCACTTCTCTGAAAGAACTGCGCCGAACCAAAAATCCTGAAGAACTTCCCTGCACCTGCCTAACCTGCAGTATTGGATGGTGAAGGTGTGATTGTACAGGGTGCGCGCCCTTGTTCGAGCCGATGATATGAGACAAAGCTGTGTGCAGGCATGGGACGTACTCATCCGAGCTCCGCAAGCACTTTTTTCGGTCTTGGTCATAGTACCTCAGCTGCTCTAAGATAGGAGCTTGAACCCAAACCCAAGCCCCATCCTGTAAGACTTTGCTTTTGTACTGTGCCCGAACTAGAAGCCAAACCCTGAATCCTGCCATCTATACGAGGCCCAAGGCCAGGAACAAAAACGGAATCACTATGGAGGGCGCTAGGGCTGCCAGAGCATGGTCTACATGCTTCTTTCTCTGATCCATGCCCGGGGGGTGCTTCAACAGCCTAGAGGGTTGTGTGAAAGCTTCGGGTGCATCAGAAGGCCCTTCCACACGCGTCATGCTCTCAAGAGTGGAACCTGCAGCCTTTCGGGCACGTAGGTGGTTATTGCCCAAAACCACTCGGATAAATGTACCCGGCGGGGGGGGGGGACCCCTTACTGTACTAAGCCTGCCTGCCGCACTGGAAATCCACTCGACCGCTGACTGTTTTCTGCCCCTTGCCCCATTTGCCGCCTTTCCACCCCTTGCCTGACAGCACCCCTTCTTATGCAGGAAGAATCAGTCGAAAGATGCCACTTGCACTTCTTGCCTCTCTTGCAGCTTTCTTGTCTCGCACAAGTGTGGCGCAAGTGGGGCAAGCACTTGTTATGTCTGCATCTTCAGCACCCCTAAACCTGCCAGTCTCGGAACTCGGTTGCAGCTGAGATTCTGGATGCTCCGGAGCATGTCCAAGAGACCGAAGTAGTTCCTGATCTTGACTTCTGTTGCATGTCGTGGGGGCTCTTTTTTTTTTTTTTTGGGGGGGGGGGGGGGAGGCTTCGAACTATGGAGCATTTTTGTGGGCCCACTTCCCAGGAGCCGACTGCCCCGCACAAGTAGGCCAAAGCTGTCGGCTTCGTGTTCGCGGCTTGGAGAATGCCCCAGCTCTCCTGAACTCCCCTTACCTCAACTGCCGCTCAGAATCATGGGTGTAGACCAGCTCGCGAAGTTACCTGGAAGGTTGAGCCAAGCAAGTCTGCTATGCGGGGCGCTTGGGCCTCCCGAGTTCATCGGTCCGGGTGCTCTTTTCACTCGAAAGCCGGACCCTTAACAGTGCAGTTTTGGCCGATGCTCGGTTCCTCACGAAACCTAAGGTGCAAGATGCTTACACACTTTAGAACACATGCATGTGTGCATGGTACTAATTTCTGTCTAGACGGATAAGAAGTCGATAGCTTTTGAGCATATAAAAAATCATTAAGGTGAAGCCCGGGGGTTAGCACATGCAAGTTCGAAAGTGCTGTAAATCCCACATCAATCGTGTCGACAGCTTTTATTATCGCGAACCCGCATCCGGATAGCCAAACGAGGCGTTTCCATAGAACACGTTTGCATAGTTCAACAGCTGCGAGTGAAAGCCAGCTTTACACATCCCGCCCCCTCCCCCCCCAGTCGATGAAAAGGCCTGCAATGGCCGGTTCCGAGAGCTCGGGATCTGGTGAGAAGCGGTCAAGGCTCATCAGGGAGCGCGCTACAAGCTCCGTGACCTGCGGGATGATGTGGGCTGATGCTTTTAACTAAGTATAGCTTCAACCTGCTGTCTTTTCAGCCCTTTTGGGGAGAACTCTGGGAGAGCTGCAGCACTGGGTTCAACACCCTGGGCCTCAGCATGGACGTGGGGCAATGCACCGATTGGCCACTCAGGCGTGAAATCGGTGGAGCGCGCAAAGGGGAAGTCCGTGTCCTGGCATCAGGCTCTTCATGAAGAGAAACACAAGACTTCGGGCATGACGATGCAAGACATGAAGAACAAAGCCGCGAAGCAACAACAGATTTGATTTTGGCCGGACCAGCAGTGCGGAAGTACACAGGGGGTATGGCATTGCTGATGCTCCCTTTTTAGTGAGCCAGCGTGAGTGGATTGCTGTAGAGCTTGTGATCTTCAAGCGCTTTAGCTTTACTTTGGAAAAGATTCGCCTCTTCTCGGTACCCTCAACCTTAAACCCTTAACCCGCGCCGAAATGCCGCTTGTCAAACCTCCCGTGTTGATGAGCTACAGGGGCCTCCAACCCCACCCCCCCAGGAAGAATCTGCGGATGCATGCTTGCTGACATGTGACAGCAATTTGGCCGATGACCCTGAAGTACTCCCACCTCAGCTGCTTGTGAAGCACGCCTGGTGCAAGCAACCAACCTGCTGGCAATGACTAGCAAATAAGCTTTCCAAGGCACTTTGTTTTGTTGGCGGCAACGTTTCTATCAATCAAGTCGGTTCTCACAAAACCAACGTCTGCGAGCCCCAGTTCCACGTCCTGGGGGAGGTGGCACACGACACACAGTAATTACAGCGCCACCGCATCAGAGCTGCAGCTGGTGCAAGTGGCTCAGCCATGCAGCTCTTTCGCTGAGCACACCCGCTCTATCGGAAAGAGACATGCTACTGCACCTTGCAACTCCTTGGACCACCTTCCAAAAAGTTTCTGTGAATCTGGCATGCAAGAGCAGTTCTTAATGCAAAACCTCATGCCTTCTGTTTTCAGAAGGACTTTAGATGTTCAATTCCTTATTTTTAGTGGCCGAGTAGAAGCTTCAGGAAGCCCCCGATGGCACCCTTGTGAAAACCACACTTCTCTGGGTGGTCCTGCACGATCTTGTTCTGGTTGAAGGCAAAGACAAGCCGAGGCACGTCTGTCATGATGTCCAAACCTTGAGATAAAAGTTCCTGAGATTCCCAAAGTGGGACGAATCTCTGCAACTGCTGGCAAACTTGGAACATGAATCCCGGGAGGTTGCTCTGTAGCCGCCGTCTGATATGTTCGCGCTTTGGGGCGGTTCTCAAGGGGAAGAGACCAATGCCGGGTTGCTGCCTGCTGGAGCTGCATTGCACCTCGGATTGAGTTTGTTTCGGCTTGCCTCTGTCACGGCACGGCAAGCGCCCGGTGCCAGCAGTTCAACAGGCACCCTTTCAGAACCCAATTGACAGGCACAGCCGGCTGTCGACCTAGACAGACGAGACAGGTACACCCAACCCCTGCAAATGCTGTCGATGCACTTCGCATCAACGTTGCAAATTATGTCCAACCTCCAGACCAGACTCACCAATAGAGGTGTGGGCCTGCCGATCAGAGACCAAGTGAGAATTCTGAAAATTGCCCGCGTCAAAAGCGTGATGCACCGCGGGTTTTGCAAGGCTTTTCCCTGCAAACAGTATTTGCACAAGTCAACCACACACACACGTCATCACACCATGATGAGCCGGCGTTGCTCGCCGTTAGCTTGATCCTGATTTACGTCCTGGTTAGGCTTCTGGTGCTCGTCCTCGTGCTCCTCAACATGCTGATTATTGTTCTCGGCATCGTTGCGAAGCCATTGGGCATACAGGTGAGCTTGCTCATCCTGGAATCTCCACAGATGCTGCTGCATAAATCTGTCAACTTCCCAAGGGTTGATCCACTGCACGCTGGACACTTCGTGGTCCGGGCCTTTGCCCGGGTTCTGCTGCTTCAGCTTGCACCTGAAGATGCGAAAGCCACCACGAACGGTTGCAAGGAGTTCTCCGACTTCCACAGGATAGCCCGACTCCTCCCAAGTCTCTCGCTCGGCGGTTCTTGTTGCCGGCTCTTGCCAATTGGTTTGACCACCTGGGATGTCAAACTTGTTGCCGTCGTAGGTCAGCTTCACTGCTAACATCGCGCCGTCTTTCTTCACGAAGCAGCCGGCATGCGCAGGGGCAGCATCTGCATCAGATAGTGCTCGAGTGCTGTTGGTGTCAGGCACACCCGCAACTGCCTGAAGGCTCAGCCAAGAAAGCAGCACGCGAAACCCGGCCATAGCACTCGGATAGAGTGGAAGGCTGCTGCAAGTAGCAGTAGCGCACAACACACGTGAGTTTGCACGGTGTGACGCCTTGAGCCAAAATGGCTACTCTCTCGGACTTAAGGCCTAAGGCTTTCCGGCTCGGCAATCCGGGAAAGCTGCGTGCCCCAATCTTTCAAAACAACGGAAAGCAAAAGCTTGCCCCTGCCCGTGGATCAGGTGGTCCGCGCCATAGCAATTCGGATGGCCGAAACCAGCCACTCCTGCAGCCGGGTCACCCAACCCGGAGATCGAGACGGCCTTGCCGAGGTTGAGGCTGGCTATGGCTGGCTAGCATCTTTCGGAGTCTTGGGTGAACATTGTGTTTCCAGCTGGAACGAGAAGGGGCCACAAGCACAAGAGGGGTTGGATTGCAAGCAGCTAGGGTACAAGCAGAAACAAATCAGCACCGATGCCACGATACTTGCCGGGGTATGAAACGCGAGTCTTACACTGGAAACTGCACAACCGCCGTTGCGCAAACTCGGACAGATGTCTTAGCCGGCAGTCTGAAACCGCAACCCAAATCCTGACATATCCTGACACAAAGCTTGCGCGCGGTCAGTTAATTCTCCGTCGTGTTTATGAGTTTTGCCGACTTTTCAGCGCTCTCCATGTCAACATCCTCTCATCAACAATCTGTCGTTGAAGGGACCTCCTTCCTTGTAGCTGCGAGTTTGTGGTGGGATGAATGAGTCAGAATGAGTCCATTAATTGCCACCACCTCTCGATGA